CCCTCATACTGGAATGACCTGAAATTACTCTCAAAACATGTCCAAGCCTGAACTTGGCCATCAGTCTTTCAGAAAAGAAAGGGGAGCCTCTCTCTTCCTGTCAGGAGGTCCTCATATACAACTGTGTAGCCCATCCGGTCTCTCAGCTCAACCACCTGATTGATCCTCTACTCGGGAGGAATTTCCTTTGTGAAAGAATCTGACAGAAAGAATCTGAAGGATATGCAATAATCACTGAATTTGAAGTTCTTGAATCAGAACCAATATCACCAAACTCTATTGCTTAATCAAGATGAAAGCACTTATTTAGCCTTGGAACTTTCCTAAGGGAAAAGAGTCAATATTTATTTACACAGATTCCAAATATGGCTTCCTCATCCTCCTTGCCCACATAACCACATGAAGGAGGTGGCCTCCTCCTAACAACAGCTGAGACCCCTATAAAGTATTCCCAAGACATTCTTAGTCTTCTGAATGCTATCCTTTTGATCACTCACGTGGCTAAAATCCACTGTCCTGGATATCAGAAAGGGAATGACCCAGTGGCCAGAGAAATAGGACGGCTGACTCTGAGGTCAAGAGGACTGCACTGGGGTACAAGGAATGCCCCATTCTCTGGAAGGAATCTCTGCTGACTTGTGAAAGAGCTCTGAAAAACCAGCTTTAGCCTTTAAAGTCAGACATCACCAAGGATGGTGGCTAACACCTAATCACAGATGGTAACTTCCCTACAGTGAAAGTTCTAAATTCCTTCATCAGACATATCACTTGAGACAAGTGGTACAAAAGAATGTTCAAGGGACAAGGCCTAAAAGGAACAACCTGTCAGGTGGTACAAGGACATGAGGATATGTCAGAAACATAACCCCCCAAAATGTATCTCCAGGCCTCAGGTACACAAAGACAGGGGAAAGAATATTTAAAAGTCTCTAGAGTGACAATGGGTCTGCTCATTTCTCAGAATCTGACTAAAGCTTTGGAAATTCAGCAGTATCTGCATCATCTACCTTGTGCTTGACAGCCCCAGATTCCTGGATAGTTAAAACAGGCTAGGAATCTCCTAAAAGACACCTGAGGAAGCTAGGTCAAGAAACCCAAGTGATATGGGTAATATATATTGCCCCTAGACCTATTCAGACTTAAGGATGTGCCTAATTGCCAAGGTCTCATACACAGTAAAACTTTCTTCACCAATGACTTTGACCAGACCCTGAAACAATCACTGGTGACTCAAATCACCAGCTGACAAAATTCCAAAAAAAATCTCTCAGAACTATAGACAGGCTTTTCCAGAGCACACAAAGCACCTCCTCATTTCTGTCCAGGAAAGTTACTATTAGTCAATACATTAGACTCCAACCAAAAGCCTCATCCACCTCCTATGGGAGACCCATATTCTGTTTTGCTAGCCACCGATGCCCCAAGGCAGTTGGAGTTACAGGACTAGACACATGGCTTCAGCATACCCATGCCTAGTCTTTGTTTCAGGCTTGCCTGAAGCAAGAGTCCCCAAGAAAAGGCCAGCTCAAACTGATCTTCAAGTGTCAACCCTCTCTCAAATTCAGTAACTATGCATGATTGGGCTATCCCCTCTAGGCAAGGATTTCTCACTGGGTTTGCCAGTTACTGCCCTCTAGATATTATGAGTATTCCTTTATAGGCTATGGTATCATTTCTCTTGATGATGGCCATTTTGGAAGTTTTGTTTCCTCCTTGTCAATAACCCTATGCCATCCACAGACTCTGTATGACAGACAAGGACAGGAATGTGAAGTCACACTGCTCATGCCAGGCATAGTGTCCATACAGACATCCTCTTGTTTCTCTCCTCCATTCTAGGGAGGGACCTTCACTCTAAAAATAAAATCACCCTAGACCTTGACAAAGAGGGATGCACTGGACAGGACACCCATGAGGACCAACTCATTCAATTTCTTCCAAAACAATACATATTTTGAAGATCACAGCCACAGATACTTTCTGATTACTATCAATATGATAGATGCCACATGATTGTAATGGTCTTCTCCAACCACGAGTAACTAGATGTGTGGTCCAAAGATCCAAATATGTAAAAAAATTACTGCAATATAGAACAGAACAAAAACAAAACAACAACAAAACCTTACCCTGTACCTGCAGGTTAACCATGGGATTTCCCAAAGGACATTCCCAGTTACAAGGCTCACACCCTCCAAAATCACCCTTATTATTCATGGTGGACAAAACTGGAATCCACATGGGCACAACCAGACCAGACTCTTACTTACCTGGAGACCATCCCTACCACTCTGACCCTCCAATGGGCTATCTCTTGGTTTTGGATTCACCATTTGTATCCTAATCTGAATCCACATTCCTAAAAGAGTTTCCTGGTTGTTGTCCCAAATCTTGCCTAAGGAAACTAGGACTGAGGAGATTTCCCTAGCTACCCTAACCTCACACAGAAAACCTGGGAGACAAACATTCCCAAGAACATCCGTCCTCTATCTAAACATGAGTCACCTCCTTGGGGGAATAAGCACAAACCTAGGAATCACAGACTGCTAGAATGGGCCACCCAGAGGAATGCCAATTCCTTAAAAAGGATTCCCTTGCCAAAACAAGCCATAAAGTCAGTCTCTTACTCCAAGCAGAAGGAAGAGAATGTAACACCTTAACAACAGAAAATCCAGGTCTAAAGAATAAATGTTATCCACTAGACTCATTCTTTAAAAAAAAGGTTTCCATCACTTCATGGGAGAGAGCTTGTATTTAGACCTAACGAGAGTTTATTAACTTAATTAATTGAAGTGGGATCCAAATTGGTTATGTGCCTATGGCCTACCCTCTTAAATGCTGAACCTGACTCAGAGACCATCTTTTCTAATTATGGTATGCCCTCTCTTTCAAAGGTAACTTCATACCACTGTAATATTTTATCTTGTATGCTAATGGCCCAAGTTCCCCAATTGACTGAGGGTACCAAATACCCTACCATCAAACTTATAGGCCTGGAGGAAATCATTAATGGCACCCAAGTAGTGCCCATAGGACATCACCGGACAATCTAACCAAACCAGATCTGATTTTTAAAGTTGACCAGTCAAAAGGCTGACCAGTGGGGGCTTGCCCTATATCATTAAAGATACTTTAAAGATTCAATCCATATTTTTAGTTTCCAAATGCCCTCTACACTTCTCTGTGTGTGTGTGTTTGTGTGTGTGTGCATGTTTACTTTTACACTTTCAATGAAGTTTAGTTCCTGCCTCAGTTTTTTTTTGAGGGGGAGGGTTGGCTTTGGGTTTTTTTTCAAGACAGGGATTCTATGTAGTCCTGGCTACCCTAGAACTCAGGGATCTCTCTGCCTCTGCCTCCTGAGTTCTAGGATTGAAGGCATATGCCAGCACCAACTGGTTTCTTCCTGCCTTTTAATTTCTTACTTGATAGAGAAAACAAACTTGATCAAGACCTTAGACAAATGGACTTCACTAATGGCTTGCCACGTGCATGCAAACATACATGTATAAGCACACTCACACATGTGCACAAACCTACACCAACTAGTACATATGACAATACATATACTACTCAAACACACAAATTTTACAACACAGTCAACTTATGCAATTCATAAAATTATAACAAGATTTATTTCTAGTTACTTTTCATAACATTTATGTTCCAAAAGGTAAGCCAACACATCAGTTTACATGTCCATAGTATTCTTAAAAACAGATTCAATCTAAAATTCAGTAAGATAAATAAGAATCAAATAGACATGAATGATAATAATAATTCAAAACATACTATACTAAAGATATATGTAAGACAGCACAATCAATTATCCTTTCATAGTCCTACATTCACGCATGTGCTTGTACATAAATTCATATGCTATGATTGCATGATCATCCCCATCATCATCTCTGTTCTCCAAATGCGGCAAAAGTCTTTAAGAGATTAGATTACATACCCCGGACAGAGAGTTTATAGAGAGAACACCTGTGATTTGAACTCAGGTTTCATGTGTTCAACCCTACCTCAAATTCCCTATCCTAATATTGTAATGCCTAAGGCTATAGTTTAAGACCCACAACTCCTGTACAACATTGTATGATCATAATAAAAACCCTGGTTGCTTTCATAACTGCAGCAATTGTCAGTGTGGTGATTACTGTCTGTAATAGGGGTGCTTATCACACTGTATTCTGCCATTTCTTGTTCCGTATGGTCTACACAACACCTTTACAATAGTTATTTAAAAGGCAAGAGTATCAGCTATGTTTCTAGTAATGATATACAGCATGACCCATGAAAGGGTTTGCTTCAGCTTACAGTCCATCATGAGACGAATCAAGGCAGAACCTAGGCGCAGGAATTGAAGCAGAGGCTACCAGGCTGTGTACTGGTAGGTTCCCATGGCTTACTTAGCTTGCTATTTTTATACAACTCAGATTCATCCTCGCAGGGGTGGCACCACCCAGAGTGGAATGAGCCCTCCTAGATCAATTGTTAATCAAGAAAATGCCCCCCAGACTTGCCCATAAGCTAAATTGACGGAGTATTTTCTCAATAGACATCCCCTTCTCTCAGATGACCGAAGCTAGTGTTGAGTTGACAAAAAACTAACCAGTTACTTTGAAACTGTGTAATTTAACCTTAACTTCATTAACATCAATCCACCAAACTATGGAGAAACCAAAAATAGAACAACGGTGGAATTATTTAAAGTGCTATGTAATCCAGTCATAATGGATTTAATGTGGGTCTCTTCTAAGCTAATGCATGTACTCTAAATGAAACTCAAACAAAGATGTGTGTTTCAAAGAGCACTAAAAGCTTCCTTTAATGGCCTTTCTACAAAAGGTTTGTTTCCTATTCCATACAGGAATTTATGACAAAATATCCATTTTTTCAGTAATTATGGTCTACTCTTTTTAAAATACTGGCATCTTTAAAATATATTTTTTAAATCAATGAAATAGTAAGGCACTAATGAACACTGCAACCTTAAGTACCTTCAAAAGGAGAGGGTACTTGCATATCCTTTGTATTGGTGTCACTAAGTACCCCTCCAGTGGAACATCTGTGTTCTTCCGTCCTCCAAGCAGCATGCAGTTCTGCGGTTAAAAACAAACATTTAACAAGTAAGTACATCTTGCAAACCCAAGGTTGTGAAACTATTCCATCAAAATTTTATGTGGAAAGATTGTGAAAACATGTGTCCTTATATACCATGTCACATGGACAGTCAAGACCTGGTCTTCCACATTGGTTACAGAACCCAAAGTGAACCTATAACTTGGAATATAATTCACATGTATTCTTCGGGGCATGAAGGAAAAGGTTTAAACAGAGAACGGGAGAGAGAGAAGAAACAGACAAAACAGATCTATTTTGTTTTTTAGGAAGTGCACTATTGAGAGGACTGAAAAGAAGGCTTGGAACTTAGTTAAGAACACTTGCTGCTCTTGCAATGGAGCCAGGCTCGGCTGCCAATACGCAGATTGGGTAGCTCATAACTGCCTGTAACTTGAATTCCAAATGACGTGAGAGTCTCTTCTGGCCTCTACAGGTACCTGCACACACATTGAACACATACAGACAAGCAGTTTCACATACAGAAACAAAAAATACATTAATTGTTAAGTGCATCCTGTTGTAGAAAATCAGGCACCAAGACACTGAGTTCTAATGTAAAGTCAGGCTTCACTGCTGATTAGTGGCACACAGACAAGTATTTAATACGTCAGGCAGGAAGCAGAAGACCTTCAAATGGCAACACCAGGAGGTCAGCATATTCCCTGTCACTATTGTGTAATAATGTTCTATTCCCTGAAACTATTTTATAATAACAATGTAATGAATTTCATGGAAGAGCCAAGAGCTGAGAGGAAAAACTTCAAAAGGCACACCCCTGGTACAGAGTCCTCCCTGCATGGGACAGCACTCTCAGTATCTGTATGTGTGTCTAGTTAGAGGATGGTCACTTCACCCAATCATCACAGGAGACAGAGCAGCCAATATTCCTTCACAGGGATTTCTCCTCCCTGGGAGAAATCCATGGACACAATTACTTATATCTTACAATATTCATGAATGTTTCAGAGTTTCCAGTTGCAGCATGAGTTAGCAGCCTTAGAAATGTGGTCTCCCTTTTTCATAGCTCTGGGCTGAAGGGTCCTGAAAAGTCCTAGGTGGTTGTAACTTTTTCTTTCCACATGTATGTGAGAGAGACAGCAAGAAAGTGGAAGAGGGAACATGCGTGCATACATGCATATTGTGGACACCTACATGTGTAGGTGAGCATGCACATTGGTGCATTTATATGTGACGTGTGTATGTGGAGGGCCAAAGCTGATGTCAGAAATCACTGTCAATCACTCTTGTACCTTATTCAATGCGACAGCATCTCAAGAGAGCTCACTATTAGGACTAGTCATCCAGCCAGCCTGCTGGGGGGAATCCTATCTTACCTTCTAAGACTGGGATAACAGGTGGACTCTCACCCAGTACTCACCTGATGCGGAGGGACCAGAACCCCAGTCCTCATACTTGTACAGCAAGCACTTATACTGGTTGTTTTGTTGTTTTGACCAGGGACCCTCAATTAAGGAATCTCCCCTAGTAGAATGCTCTGTGGGCACATCTCCAGACTGTTTTCTGGATTAATGATTGATATGGGCATGTACAGCCAACTGTGAGCTGTGATATAATCATAAAAAAAATCTAAGGAATAAGTTTCAGGGGATTCAATGACATTAAAACCTTCCTGAGATGACAACATTAACAAAGATCCAAAATAATATTATCATCACCCCAAACCTGGAAACTGTTAGATGAATGCCAAAGGATAATTGTTAGTATCCCTCATTTTATGAACAAGGGAACTAACACCAGGAATATAATGAATATTTTAATGACATCCAAATAATCTATGTCTGCTTAGTTCCACGGTAGGAACTATCAAAACAGATTCTGTCTGCTAAAGTATTCTGTGAGTGATCTCAACCCACATTCTTGACATAGGGCTTTTTCAGTGGGGCTTCACATTAGGGCACTAGGCAAGCTAAACTAAGTAGTATTCCAAGTGAACCCTGCTAAAGACAGGACACACTAAACAAGACAGCAAAGCTCTTACATTCTACCAAGGGAGCTGCAGAGAGCAAAAACCTCATACCAAGGAGTGTTGACCAAAATGTTAGCACATTCCAAAACCAAAATAGGAAATGCCCACAATGCTAGCCTGCGAGTACAGCTATACTTGAGTTCTTCCAGCATACTAGCCAAAATTTTAACACAGATAACCTAAAAAGATAAACATGGCATAGAGAGAATGCATTTGATTTTGACTGGTAAAAGAGGTGTGTCATTCAAAACAGACTTTTTTAGGTACCCTAAGAAAAAACCTGAATTGCCTTGCAAATCATCTGACTTTCAACTGTGCCCAACCAACAGTCATGCTTGGGTCCGTGCTCATGAGAGAGAGAGGATCTCTACAAGCTGAACACTCACCGAAGGGATCTTAAAGCAAGGTGAAGCAATCAAGGGAACCTGAACAGAGGTGTCTTCAGAGAGACTGGAACTCAGCTTGAGTCTAAGTAGGTTACCAAAAACAGGACAGAGCAACAAGGAGAAAAAACAAACACAAACAAAAAACCAGTGGCTAATCTCAGAGAGGAAACAGATTCCAGAGTTTCTATGAAGTTATTTAAAATGTCAAGCTGTTTTTTAAACTTTACACTTATGAGACACACAAAGAAATAGGAAGATTTGACTCAGGCATAGTCAATTAAAACTCTTCAGTATACCCAGATATTGGGTTTAACACAGACTTCAACATAGCTATTACAAATAAATTCAAAGAATTTAAGCACCTCTTAAATACCCAAAGGACACTAGTGGCAAGCAGAGAAATAACGCCCTCAACAATGAAGCTAAATCAAATAGACACCAAATGAAAGAAAAAAAACTTCACTGAGTTACAGGTAAGTTAATGTAAATCTTCTGATATGAAGAACAGAGATAAACAATTACAAGGAACCAAGAGGGAACATGGATGTGGAGGCTATAGAGATGGCAGCATTTAAGGGCACTGTCTGCTCTTTCAGAAGGACTTGGGTTTGATCCCCTAACATCTGCATGGTACCTCACAATCATCTGTATCTCTAGTACCACTAGATTCAACACCCTCTTCTGGCTTCCAAAAGCACTACACATACTATGACAAACATACAATCATGCAAAACACCCACACAAGCAAAATAATAAAATTATTGATATTATTTTTATTTAATGCATGCATAATGGTAATTAAAGAAAGGTATAGTGATATAATAGATATTTTAATAACACCTACAAATTCACAATTTATGTTTTATTTTGTTTGTCATATTTTAAGATGGAGCCTTGGAGCCCTACAATGTTTCCCAGACTGAAAAGACCCTTCCACCTCATCCTCATAAATGGGATCATAGCCATATTCCACTTGATCCAGTCTAAAATGTCTCAAAATTTATTTTTAAAAAAGCAGACTTATCTACAAATAGAAAAGCAAAATTAGGATCCTCACCTAAATACAGTGTAATTGAAAGACAAAGTGTTAAGAGTGGCAAGGGGAAACTGAAGTCATATGTAAACAACAGAAGCAATACAAACAACAGGCTCATTGGCAGCAGAAGTGACTGATGGAAGCTCTGTATCAGTGGAACCCAACTCAAAATTATGAAAGAGAAAGATGCAATCAAGAGCTCTAGCAACAGAACTATCCTTCAACAATGAAGACAAAGACATTCCCAGAATAAACTAGTAGAAATGACTTACAAGAACAATTTTGGTTATTCTTCACAAGAAAGACTATCACAGTCAGAGTTGAATCTACAAGAATGAAGAAGAGTTGAGGTGGTAGTCTGTAGCAAATAGAAAACCCTGTAGAAAACTATACTGTAAGAGTATTGTAGACTTCTTAACACAGAATGTGGCACAGGTGGGAGAAACTGCACAGTGAAGGACAGAAAAGAGCAACACTTTGCATTTCTTTACAAGAAACAATAAAGCATGACTAGAAAAGTAAGTTCTGGCTATGTGCTGTCTACCAGAACATTTAAAATATCTTATGTAGTCACAAAGAAGAGTTAAAAACAGAATTCTAAAGCCGGGCACTGGTGGCGCACACCTTTAGTCCCAGTGTTTAGGAGGCAGAGGCAGATGGATCTCTGTGAGTGTGAGGTCAGCCTGGTCTATAGAGTGAGTTCCAGGAAGGCTCCAAAGCAATACAGAGAAACCCTGTCTCAGAAAAAGAAAGACAGAATTCCAAACACTAAGAGATCTGCCATATCTATAAGGAAAATAGTCTTTATCAAAAAAAATACCCTTTAAGACAAAAGTGATATTTTATGATAAAAAGAAAAATGAATATAACAATCATGAATATAATAACAAAGCTCCAAAACATGTAAAGAAAAAATGGACAAACTGAAGGTTATGAGAGATAATTATACTTGGATTCAATGCCCCCCTTTTAAGGGGATAAATGAATAATATAATTCACACTTTCATTATTTTGTATAAAAAATAATCACATATTATATATTATAGTTCATAGATATGAATGAGTCACAGCTTTCAATATTTAAAAAAAGGACTAAAGATGTATATAGGTTGAAGAGAGCTGGTGATATTGTATAGTGACAAATACTTGCCCAGAATGCACAAAGCCTTGAATTCAATGCCAGTGTTGAGAAAGACAGACAGAAAAAAAGGAAGAAAGTAAGTCAGCAAAGGAGAGAGGGAGGAAAGGTGATAATGAAAACTCTCAAAACCAGGAATGTAGTAAGAACTTAAGAAATACCATTCATGTGAATAATCTATAGCTTACAAATATATCCCCCTAAGACCAACAGTATGTTGCCTCTTCTTAGAGCATCTAAGAAGGTTCTGTAGAGCAATCTACAGAAGGTTCTAATGAAGATAATGTGATTTTTCAAAAGGCAGTACATTTAAAAACTGAAAAACAAGGCTGGGAAGCAATACTTGAAAGTAATATATTTGTTACAGAAATTGCTCCCAAAACTAGGAATACTTACAAGTCTCCATAAGGTAAACACTTCAATTTTAGAACAAGAAAGATTTGAATAAATATGTCACCAATGAAGACAGATGCATGGCTAGTGATGCTAAGTTTTGAATTCATACTGCACACCCACTAGCATGACTATATCCAGTCACACCAAGTGCTAGCAAGGTACAGAAAAACCATACACTTAGCATGGGGCAAACACACACATGAAAAACAATTCAGAAATAATGAATATAAAATGAATACATGGAATAAATCTGGACATTAGAAAAACTACCAAATAACAGAAGACATGCTCAGTAGAGTACATTGACTGTTCCTATTTGTATAAAACCTATAGGTACTTATCTGATCACTAATCTCTCAACACTTAAGAGGCAGATGGGTGCTTCGAATTTGAGGCATGCTTGGACTACATAAGGCTCTATACTAAAAAAAAATAAACTTTTGTAAAAAAAAAAAAAAGGTCGCTCTTCACAGAAAGCAAGGCATTGCAGCCTGCATGCAGCAATTAGTGGAAAGGGAAATGGGCTATCAAGAGACAGGAGGCTGTTCAAGTCCATGGAAGTGCTCTCACACTAGACTGTGGGAGACGGCCCAACAACTCTTCTCAGGTGCTTGCAATGATCATTCATAGCTGCCAGAACATGCCTTTATGCATTATTATCTCTTGTTTGTGGTTTGTTTGTTTGTGTTTTGGAGACAGGATTTCTCTGTGTAACAGCCCTGGCCATCCTGGAACTCACTCTGTAGACCAGAATGACCTCTAACTCACTGAGATCCATGTGCCTCTGCCTCCCAAGTGCTGGAACTAAAGGTGTGCCCCACAAACGCCTGGCTATGTATGTTATCTTAAAGTTAACATTGAATCCTGCTGTTCTTATTAAAATGGAATAAGAAATGTGTGCAGGAGAGCAGCCAGTCTTTACACTTGGTTCCTTCCTGTGACTGCCCTACTTCCAGTCCTCTGAGGAGTAAGTAGAGCCCTAGGGAGCGGGGATGCAAAGCAAAGGTGAACTCTGACCTAAGTTCTTTGCTTGACTAATGAGATCACACAGGCAACTCTCTGTCAACCACCAGGAGAGGGCATCAGCAGCATTCCTCACACACAAGCTCATCCCAGATCTGGATGCTTACACTGTCCATGGACTATCTTTCAAGTCTTCATGTGCTAAGACATAACCCGGGACAAACTGTCAAATGCGTTCTTACAGGTAGGACCCTCAAGCAATGGCAACATATGGTTATAGATGAATTTTCACTTACTAAAAGAAATGTTCGGATTGTTCTTATTTTGTTCAGTTCAAGAAGCAATTTCTGTGCCTTTTCATGGTTGCTGCAATATTCATCGTAGATACGAAACTTGTCTTTCTGTAAATTAAAGACAGAATAAATGAGAACCACTGCGTATTACTTTGAGATTTTAACCCATGTGATATGCATAAATAAACTCCCCAAAGGTACAGTATCTCAAGAGATTTACTATATGCATATAAATTTTATTTATTTCCCCTACTCATAAGTATAGCCTAGAAAAGAGTTGATAAATTTACCTCAACAAGAATGCAATAATATGAATGAGCCAAATGGTTGCAAAGTTCAGAGAATGAAGTATTTTTTACCTTTGTCACGAGAATTTAGACACAGCTTTTACTTTTTTCCCCCAGATCTTACTTCTGAGTTAGGTAGAGTGGAACAAATGTACTTCTCCCAGTCAAAAGGAGGGACAAAGCCATTTTAGACAGAGGGAAGAGGCATGTGATACATCACACAGGAATCATGAACAACAGAACCCTGAAGTTCACGTCAACCAATTCTGGCAATTGCATTTAAGAGGAACGTGGACAAACATGACAACGCACAACTACAAGTAAGTAAGATAAAGGCAGACCCTGAAGATACAACATCCCAGCTGTTGCTTCTTAGAGAGATGTTTAAGACAGAAAGGTCAAAAAATAGTGTTACAGCTACTTTCAAGCAGCCTTTATTCTGTAAGAAAGGAACAAGTCTATAGAACTCCAAAACAGTACTGTTCAGTGGAAATGGCAGGGCTGTGATGGACAGAGGTATGATCAATCAAGACCCAATGATTTAAGCTACCAGGAAACAATACAAACAGTCTTCAGTGTTGGGGAGGGGAGTCTTTTCAAAAAGGAAGAATTTTGCTATCATGATCTCTGGCTTCCCTACTATCTGTAAGACTACTCTCAAAGGAGCTATAATAAATAGTGATCAAAGGAGCCCATTGAAAACCACAAATAATTTATTGATCAAATTATCAGAACAGAAGGCTGTCCTTTGTAATTTCCAAGACACACACTTAGAAACAGTCAGCACTGTTTTATGTAGCCAGCAGAGATGGCTTGAATTACTTGCCTCAAGAGATGGTACAAGCAGAATAAGAGGAAAGTTCAGAAATAGCTGAGCAACATTTATGGATGACAGATTCATAATGTGTTACTAAGGAAATAGCTGTCAGGGTGCAGAGTTCCCACGAGCATCCCTGGCCTGAGGTAACAGCTCCTCCATCTGGCAGGGGAGTCTGACTCTTCTGTGAAAGGAAACAGGCTTGAGGAAGCAGATATGAACACCACACCTTCCAGCCACAACCAAGAAATGCACAGTTTAATCCACCCAGATCCCAGGAGTCTCTCCCTGTGGCAAAATGATCACATATAGGTCAAGAAACTGCGAGATAAATGACTAAGTATAAGCTTCATTCTCACCTAGCTGTGTAAATGGTGCAGTCACTGAGTAGCTACTTAATTCAGAGAGATATACTGAAAATTGGCATCAATGGAAAGGGATCAATAAAAAGCATTTATTTTCTTGTAGTATGAATGTCCTTTAGTTCTTAAAAACAATTTTCACTAGGCAGATGATTTCTTACTTTGCAAATTGATTACATAATCCCAGGTGTCCTTTACAAATAGGCGTGGCTGATGACAAGGCACAGGGTGTGTGTTCCAGACAACTGAGCCCTTACCCCTCATTCTTTCAAACAGCACTCCAAACAAACTCCAAGAAGCCACCCCGGAGAAAAACCAGTCATGGGAAGCAAAGGTCTGTTCACCTCCAGGTTTGTCACCAGCCAATTAACAAGGGAACAGTCCAGCCAATAAAGAAAGAGTTTGCAGCACCATTATAAGAGTGAGAATTTTCTGCCTCAAAAGAAAAATGTTCTATGTTTGAGCGAAACATAAAAATCCATTCATTATGAAACAGGCTGAATATTCATTAGAATTCAAAGCTACAGAGGATACGAAGAACTAGCTTGTCAGGAAAAAGAAAAGGCTGCTTATTCTTTGGGTAAAATGGATGATGAGAGACTCCCTCCCCTTTTCTGGCTCTGAGGGTAAGATTTCACTGGCCTTAAAAGACCCCAAACTTCTGGTGTCGAGCTTCACTTCTCATGCTGAATTCACACACACACACACACACACACACACACACACACACACACACACACACACACTACTCTGCCAAGATGCACTCCTTAAAACCAAGAGAGAAAGAGTCTGAAAATAAGCAGGGGGAAAAATATCCTACAAAGTGAAGAAAGCAGGTTCCCACTTCCTGCTGGGCATTGGGTTCGGGGTGTAAGCACTCTTCCACAACTTTCAGGAATTCCTTATGGACGGCAAGGATCTCCTCAATATTGGAGAACAACATCTGGAAGATAGATACAGAAGTAAAAACTGTAAGGGCATTTGTGAAGCAAATTCAAAAAATTCAATTAGAGGGCCCATGAGAACACAGCACCGTAAGCAGACAGCCACTGTGTATCATCTCTACCTCCCACCTGGCAAGCAGAAGCCAGTTTCATCTGGACTTCTGTATTCCCACAGAACTCTAGGAATGGGGACACCATGCATAAACTCAGGGAAAAGCCTGGGGAGGTGGCAAATCGCAGTCTGCCAGCCCACCCTCTTCTGAATGCCTGTAAGTATAAGTGTGGGAGATTTGCTGACAGGCTTTTGGGGAAGTCCTTGACACTATGAGGGGTATCCCAGAACAGACCAGCCTTGCTCCTGGCAGGTGCACGTGTATAAAAGCCACAGCTGGGTCAACTGCAAGATCACTGTGCTGCACCCAGACGGTGATATCATGGGCTGCAGACCTAGCAACACTTTGGCCTGCTAGAAACACCTGCACAGATGTTTTCGTCTACCTAGAGTCCCTGTGAGTGAAAGTGTTCAAGTTTGTTTGGATCATACTTTGCTTTTCTTTTTGGCCCAAAGCTTGCTAACTAAAGTTTCCAATGGTAGAAAAGCCAGTAGGTTACATATGTAACTCATAAGGAAACAGAGTCAGAAGAATCTAAAAACCCTTGACTCTGTTTTAATTAATAAAATAAAATAAGAACAAAATCTCTAGTCACCTAGGTGGTGTTTCTCAGTTCCTGTCATGTCTGCAGTAATACTGTAACCATTCCAGAACATGCTACCACTAAGCCACATCCCTACATTTTTACAAGGTAGGGAAATGCTTATGGATTTACTTTTGGGTTGTGATATTACATTCTTTTCTATATGACAGTGAATGATCCAAATTTTGCTCTTGAGAGATAAGAGATTGGAATTCCCACTTGTACATATCATGGCTTCTTGAACCACTGGCAACTGTCTGTCACCTCTCCCAGCCTTCTTCTCATAGACAATGAAGTTCTAGTTTAACTTCTTAAGCTTGTTTTTCATTTTTTTCAAATGGTTACATGATCTTGGTAAACACAAGAATTCTATACAACATGTAAGCTGTTTCTTTCTCTACAGCCCTTAGTCTCTCTTTCAAATTATCAACACTGGTCACTGCTACAGGAACTCACAGTGGGGCTGAAGATAAACTAAAGGGCCCTGAAGGAACACTCAGTAGACACATCACCTTCAGGGTACCTGAGCTTGGCTGAGGGGCGAAAGCTGCCTGCTCACCTTCACTGTTTCCTCCGTCACATTTTTGTCAACTTTTGCTGCCGCACACTGGTTCATTCGATGCAAGAAGGCCTGTGTGAAACAGGAGAAGACATTATGAGAGCAAAGCCAGGGTTATAAACTGATTGGGCACTGATTAGAATGAGACACAGTGCCGTACAAAAGACCAAAGCTTACCAACGGGCATGCACTACATACCTCTAATCCTAGTGCTTGGGAGACAGAAGGAGAAGGACTGCCTAAAGGTCAAGACATCCTGACTTCCATAAGGATATATGGGCCAGCCAAGGCTACGTGGTGAAATCTTGTCTCAAACAAACAAAACTGAAGTTTTAAATTCTAGTAGCTGAGTATAATAGTTTTGAAGTAATGTGTAAAACTTTTGTACACTGTTGCTCCTACCCAAAAATTCCATTATAATGGAAATTTAGTTCCATTATAATACTGAGGCAGAAACAAACAAACAAACAAAAAAAGATCAAGTCTCTATGAATTAACTTCTTCTGCCTGGTCCTCAGAATCTAGGGTAAACATTTAGAATTGGGTGCTTCCTAAATTTTAAGTGTTGTAAAGTGCAGAAAGGCCAAAATATGATATAAATTCAGCATTTCAACTAAAAAGGTAAAAGGACCTGAAGTTCCATAGTGACTCTTAGTACTATGAGATGAAGGGATGGATGGATGGATGGATGGATGGATGGATGGATGGATGGATGGATGGATAGGGAAGAAAAGACATAGGTACATCAGCACACTCAGACACACCTGCCAGTAACTGCTGCTTTCAGGAAGGATCTTTTGTTACTCACCTCTATGTCACCCACTTCTATGTCACCACACTCATACTTCGTAAGAAGCAAGAAAAAAATAGATTTCAGGGTTTGTCAGTTCTTCATTGCCTTATGGTATTCTTTCAGACACAAGCTAAAGGAGATGCCCAGAGGTAAAATAATTGCCCAGCAGGCACAAGTCCCTGGATTTAATGCTCAGCATTGAGGAAAGAGGAGGAGAGAATGGGCGTGGTAAGAATATTTAGACTGGAACTTCTTAATGTTAAGCTTTCACTAAAGACTAAATACAGAAGAATGCTTGGCATATAGTGAGCCTTAAAGTAAAAAGTTTAAAAACAAAAGGAACTGCCCACCTAGCAAACTTAGTTTATGTTCTCAAAAAATTATCCATAAATTACCCAGTAAGATCATTTCGAGGACTGGGAATATTACTCAACTGTAGATAATACATTAGAAGCCCTAGACCAATTCTCCAGCACCAAAAAAAAAGTTAGAAAAGATCATTGCTCTTTGGATTGCCTTGAGAACTCTGCCACTACCAGCCAAGTGAAGGAATGCAACTTCCCAGGGCACACAGAAGTTCAGGGAGGGTGCCTCTGGCTATGGCATTTAAAAATAAAAATTACAATAATAATCATAACTTTGACATGTTATATTTACACATCTAAGGCATTAACAAAAGGTGATAGTTACCAAGAGATTGCTCATAACATCCCAAATTACCACCCTCAAGGCATTTCTGACAAAAAATAATAACTAGGACAACAGTCCTGAGACAACTTGAAGTGGGCTGTCCTTTAACTTAGCAATTCTACTTCTAGGAATCTGTCCTAGGAATATATTCTGACAAAGAAACTCATTTGTTATAAAAAGAAGAAAAATTAGAAGCAACCTAAAAGTCCACCCATAAAGAAATTGTAAAATACACCGTGGTGTATTCATAGTGCAGAATTTGATGGCAAAAGCAGAGTTGACATGAATGTACAGAAAACTATACCCATGTATATGCATATAAGTATATATGTACATATATATACATGTATACTTGGTAGATGCTCATGAAAAGCTGCCTGGTGAAAATAATTCACAAAGTGGTTTACTTGATATGCAAATACATATGCACACATGAACATATACATACAAGGATATATCTGTATTCATATTGAATACATTCATTGAAAAGAATGTTCAGAATACTCCAAAACTGCCAACAGTAGCTCCTTCTGCCTAGAGGTCTGGAAGGAGACTTCTGGCCACTAATTCCTTTTTGACTGTTTGGATACGCACATTACCACTTTTGTTTTAAAAACAAAATTCGACAAGAAAGCCCCCGGATTGTAGCCACCATTAGCTTCAGCACTCTTCTTTATTCCTGCTTCATCCTCTTTCTACCTCAGATTCCCTGACTACAGAGCCAAAGCAAAATTATAGCCCTGGCTCTCCTACATGCATCCAATTAAATAAAACAAATACAAAAGTATTGTGTAGAACCTTAATTTTTATTAAAAATATGACATAGTTTTTGAACCATCAAATAAAGCTATACAGAGTTGGCCATGGGGAAATGGCATGTGAACCTTGGAGTTTTGTGTACTGTTTTAATTTGCATTAATTTGTTTAATTTTTAATTTCAGATTTGTTTCTCTTGAATGCTTTCCAAGCACTCACCCCACCGTGATCCTCCGCCTTTTCTATTTAGATTTATAGCAACATGAATGTTTTACTTGTCTAGTTTACATTTCACATTGACCACACAGTAAACAGGTAATGTCTCGTGCAAGCAAATCTTAAACTTCACCTCTGCAGTTATAAACTTTTCCTTCATAAACAGGACCCGGCACATTCTTCAGCCACTAAATGAAATCCTGGATATAGTGAAACGGAATCAAAGTAAGAGTTGGAAGAGAGCATACAAATGCATCAGGTTCACGACCTAGTCCTCCAGCATGGGTATCTTCTTGTCCTCCATGATATCATGGATCATGTGTTTGAACTACATAGGAAAGGACCCCAGTCCTCAATGCCATGTCTGGCCAAAGAGTCATTCCCCAAGTTCCTTGATTTATACACAGGAAAAGCAGACTTTAGATGGCTTCCTGGGAATGTGCAATCCTGAGAACTCTGGTATTTTAAAAAAATGTTAAGTCTCTGTCCTGAAGATAAACATAAATACATGTTTTGAGAATCATGTTTAACAGGCTATATATATGGTTTCCTTGGACTTTAGTAACTGGGCTTATACCTTCTCACACCAACTAAGAAAATATTAGCAAGTCAGCCACAAAGACATGTGAAGGGATTCACTCACTATTCTATGCATTTATTCATTCGCCCAAGTCCACAATTTCACTGGAATTAGGTCCTTTTGGCCATGACACAAATATATTTGAAAATAAGCCCTAGAAAACAGCTTTAATGTTCATGGTTCACAAGCACTCTGCTGTTTGACACTCAGAAAGTCTATATGCAGACTCCCAATCCTTCCTGATGTCCTGTGAAAGAAGGCTGGTTTGGTTTGCACTTTGAGCAGGACTCCTAGGTGAGTCTGATATAGCAGGTCCAGAACCCACTTTCTGATAGACATTGGTGTGTTGATCTTTCCAACAGCTGCCAATAACAGTTAGAGAAACTAGTAAGTGAATCACACTGGACAAACAGATTCACTTATTTCACCTTTTGTGTCAACTCAACATCAAATAATAACCATCTTTACATTATCAGCCTCATCTAGCCACTTGGCAGTCTCGTGTACCCTACCAGGCGATGCCTCCCCCATGAGAGTCACAATCTAGATTTTATAAACTGTCTTCTTTGTAAATGAAGGTGGTTGGTCAGACTAACCAAGCCACATTTGGAGAAGGTGAAGCTTCCAGATGCTTCTCCAAGGACCTTACAGCTCACATATATGCCTGTAAGTGTTCACCTTTTCAGCATCCCCTTAACAATCCACATGACATTTTCTGAGATACCAGTAGTATGGGCTATCTTCTCCTACTGTGAGCAAATTTTCTCTTTATCTTTTTCCATGTGGCTTTCCTCTGTATGTACAATTAAAAGCTTATGTTAAATGTCAAATGTCAAATGCTAACTGGAGTTTAGTAATGCTAAAATGCAGATTTGCTACCAAGAGAAGGAAGAAAGTTTTTAGATAGAAGAGAATGGTAAAAGAAATCTCTTCTCTGTTTGCTCAACCACCCAAATCACAAGCCAAGCCCACAAAATTTCACTCTTGGGACGAAAATTTCAAGCTCTAATGCATCTCCTTCAGCTCATTCTTGCCATTTCTATTATTTTCATCAATTACATATACCTCTCTCTCTTTCTCAATGGTCCCACCATTTTAGTATTTTATACTAAATTCTAGCCACTTGATGTTAACCTGAATTTCACAGAATCATGTAAGTATTAAATCTCGGTACTCCCATCAATATTATGCATAGAAAAAAATCTCAACATCATCAGATCATCTTGAAAAAGCATGTATGAAGAATGAATTTACATGTAAAAATGAAAAGATGAAATTTCAAGAGGGTTTGTACTGTCACAGAAAAAATGTACTCATTCTATGCAAATAGATGTTAAAAACATTAAAGGTAAATATTTTCCTTTTGCCTTTTAAACTTGAAATATTATCAAATCACAATTCTTTGGGGGTATCAATAACATTTGTTTCGCTTTCCTGAGAGCATTAACAGAATCTTGCTAAATCAGACAAGCCTGTCTGAGTTTGCCTTGAACATTTGGCTGACAGCAATGCCATTTTAAGGGAATGGAGAAAACAAAGAGGAAAAAGGGGATTTGAGGGTGGGAGAATCAGTTTGTTGGGGCCATATGGAGCTTGAAATATCTGCTGGACACCAAGATAGAGATCCAGAACAAGGAGGCGGGATTCCATTTGAGATTCAGCAGTTGAGAAACAACAGCTGAAGGATTCTCCTGAACTCTCTCAGGTGAGATCAGCACTCAGTGACACTTGGCATGAAGATGTAATTTGGAAGAGGATGGAGAGAGAGAGAGACCTCCAGCTTCAGTCCATAAAATAAAGTACTCAGAAGAAGATGGCAAAAGGCTGCAGGACAGAATCCAGCCCTCTCCAGCATGCAGGGTGTGGCAGAAAAAAATAGGAGACAAGAATTCCAGTACGAGGAGAGAAAAGCTGTGGAGAACAGTCACGAACAACAGGGCAGGAGAAAGACAGACAGAGAAGGGACCAACTTCTCTAGAGTACCAAGGAACCAAGCAAGACAAGGGCAGACACAGTTGGTCCTGGTGAGCCTGACCA